TCATGCTGATCCGTTAGCTAATTCTTCACACCCATCGATTCCCTGTGTCCATTCATATTTGTAGGAAAGCCAAGCGTTTATAAATCACAGATGTAATGGCCTTTTGCAGAAATGTGTTCCAAACGTCTCCAATTCTTTCTGTGTGGAAATGTTTCCTAATGTCACTCCTGAAAGATCAGTCTCTATTGACCTGTTTGCCTACTAATGCAAAGCTCTCCAGAAATAGTTTCTCCCAATCTACCCATTCTGTTCCCCTTACAATCTTGTGAACTTTGATCAAAATACTTAAATCCAACTCTAGCTCCTTTACGGTTCAACATTAATTCTGGTACAGTTGTGCTATATTGCCTCCAAGGTCACTATCTCCTTTGTAAGGTGTGGGTCAGGTCTCAAAAGGGCTTTTTATAGCTAAAGTTTAACTCACCTAAATCTGTTCATTCCTCATCTTGACTTAGATACATTCTTCAAATCTTATGGGGAAAGGTCGGATAGGCTAGACCTGTATCCATTGGAGTTTACAAGAATGAGAGGTGATCTTATTGAAACATATAAGATGAGGTGAATTTTGTTTCTTTCAGATGGTCATGGATGTGTGGAACTTTCTCGCCCAGACAGCATTGGAGGCGGGGAGGTAGAGGTAGGTAGATATTTGAAACACAAGGGAGACAAAGGGTTTTGGGGGTGGGTGTGCAGTTGGGAGAGTAGAGTTGAGGCCACAAACAGATCAGGCTTAACCTTATTGAACAGCAGAGTAGACTTGAGGAGCCGAATAGCCTGCTCCTGCTCCTAATTAGTCAGTTTGTAAAATGAGACAGACTGTCATCCAGGAATACTCACTGGGTCTGTTACTGTCCATTGTGAGAGTGAGCTGCACCTTGTCATAGAATCCCTACAGTGTGGAAACATGCCATTCGGCCCATCGACTCCAACACTGACCACAGGCACTGCTCTCCAAAGTTCTCCTTCCAATGGTCTGATGTCACCAACTTTATCCGTCCGAAGAGAATCCCACCCAGAACCATCCCCTGTAACCCCACATTTTCCATGGTTAACCCACCTAGCCTGCACACCCCTGAACACTATGGGCAACCTAGCATGGCCAATCCACCTAACCTGCACATCTTTGGACCGTGGGAGGAAACCCGAGCACCCGGAGGAAACCCACATAGACACGGGGAGAATGTCCGAACTCCACACAGACAGTAGCTTGAGGGTGGAATCGAACTCAGGTCCCTGGCGCTGTGAGGCAGCAGTGCCAACTACTGAGCCACCAAGTCACTCACCGCAAGCCATCAGTGATCACGGTATGACAAACTGCGGGCACATGCACAGGCAGCTCCAGAAACCCCGAAGCCTTGCTCTCCATTGTCGAGTAGCTTCACTGGCCAGCTCCTGTGCTTTCATCCATTTATTGTGAAGAGCTTGAGCTCCAGACCTACTTGTAACAGTTCCGCGTCTTGTCTGCTGAATCCTTCTCAGCAGCAGCAGCTTTTCCAACGGGAACCTGCCTCACCCAAGCAATGCTTCAATACGCTCATTGAAAAGCACGGCAACTTTTTCTTTCCTTTATTCTTTCATGAGATGTGGGCATCTCTGGCAAGGCCAGCATTTGTTGTCCAGCCCTAATTGCCCTTGAATTGATTAATTTGCTAGGCCGATTCACAGGGCAATTAAGAAGGGAGATATGATGCTGCGCTAATGCCAATGGCCTAGTAACATAGAGATCCAGACTAAGGCTTCTGCAAGAAAAAGAATAGAGTTCAATTGTCGTAAAAACCCCATTTGCTTCATGATGTCCTTTCGGGGGTAATCTGCCATCCTTACCTGGTCTGACCTACATGTAACTCCAGTCCCACAGCAAAGCGGTTGACTCTTAACTGCATTCTGAAATGGCCTACAGAGCCACTCAGTGCAAGGGCAATTAGGGACAGGTAATAAGTTCTGGCATAGCTCGCAATGCACTCATTGCATGAATGAATGAAAAAAACACATTGCTCTGCGTTTGGAGTCACATTTAGGCCAGATCAGGTAAGATTTCATTCCCTAAGGGATATCAGTGAATCCATTTTCACAACAATAAGTAATACCTTTATGGTCACCGTTGCTGAGACCAGTTTTCAATTCCAGTATGAGTCCAAATTCACTAGTTTCAATGGCTTTGAACCCATATCACCAGAGCCTTTGGGATCACTAGACCAGTATCAGAAACATTGAGCCACTATCTTCCCTTTCATTATGCCTTGCCTCTCCACACAGTGTGTACAAATAGCTGCTCATCAGTGACACTCCTAATCAACAGTATCTAAACTAATCTGAGAGTACGCAGTCATGGCTGAGCATTTAAGGCACTGCATTTGAAATCCCGGCAGGTCTCCCTATGCAGGTTCAACATCCAAGGGCTCTTGAGGAGCAGTGGTAGTGTATCTACCTCTGGGCTAGCAGGCCAAGGTTCAATACCACTTGTTCCAGAGGTGTTCAAAGCATCCCTAAACAGGTTACTTTAAAATGGTCTGAAGCATCGAGTTATTACTCGAGAGTATTACAGAATTATTACTGCTCTATCAGAAGTGCTGTGCCTTGGTTAAAGAAAGGTCCCACTTCGAAGTAGAATTAGGTTTTATTGTCCTCAAGTACACGGATACAGGAGTACAGTGAAAAGTGTACAATGTCGCCATTCCTGGCACCATCTTAAGTACAAAGGTACTTAGGTACAAAATCTTAGGGACAAAGTCGAAAAATAACGAAATAAAGTTAAAAATTCAACATTAAAGCTTAGCCATGCTAGGCTCGCACTCCCCACAGGAGTTCGGTCTCCTCTGTGCTGGGCTCAGTCTCCTCTGGTTATTATTAAAGACTCCTGTGTGGACATTTCAAAGAAGGAGGATTTGCCCTCTGGTCCTCAATCCTGGCCTTTAACCAAAGAGGAAGGAGATAAACACAAAAACTCAACTGTTCCATTGTCTATCGCAAGAACTTGCAAAATAGCTGCTGCACTTGCCCACACAACAATCACAGTACTTCAGTAACACATATGGTGTATGCAGTACTCTGCGATGTTACTGAGAGGTGTGATAAATCTCATTCTGGCTTGCTGCTTCATTTCCCTTCCCTTCTGTTCACTCATTACATTCCACCAAGTCCTTTGGTAAACCTTTATGCTTATCCACTGCCCTCTCTGCAGTTCCCAATGAGCTAACTGAAAAGATGCAGCATCTATAATTTCAGTCATCGACGTTATCATCATTCCTCAATGCAGTTGAATCTGAACTGGCCTCTGAAAAGGCCCTAGCAAGCCACTCAGTCCAAAGGCAACTGGGGAAACAATTGGCTTGCTAGTGACCCCCACATTCCAAGAAGGAATAAAGAAAGAATAAAGAAAAATCACTTCTCACAACCAATTTTTGATTTGTGATCCTTGGACTGTCTGGAATCTCAGAAGAGCCGCAAAATTGGGAGACTTCCTTTTTATAACATGTATTATCGTTGTCAGAAATGACACAGTGTGGAGCTGGAGGAACACAGCAGGCCAGGCAGCATCAGGGAAGCAGGAAAGTTGACATTTCAGGTCGGCACCTTTCTTCAGTAAAAGTATCCTCTGATGCTCCCTGGCCTGCTGTGTTGTTCCAGCTCCGCGCTGTGTTATCTCTGACTCCAGCATCGGCAGTTCTTACTATCCCTGAGTGAGTTATCTTTGTCGGGCATTACTTTTGTTGCTCCAGACTATGACAACTTGAATTTACATAGCATTTTTAACACCAGTTAAATGTCCCAAGAGACTTTCCAGGAAACGAAACAGACTACGTTCACATAGGAAAAGTTAGGAGACATAGCTTCAAATGGCATGACCAAAGATGCTATAAACGATATGGACAGCATCACACAGTGGGCAAGTAATTGGTAGATGGAATATAATGCAGAGAAATATCCGTTTGCAGCAGAGGTTTCCAACGTCTTATGAAGAGACATTGCACAGTTTAAGCCTATACTATTTAGAAGAATGAGAGGAGATATAATTAAGATGCTAAAGAGGATTGAGAAATAGATGTAGAGAGGATATTTCCTCATGTGGGCAATCCAGAATGAGAGGTCATAGTTTTAGGATAAGGGGCAACAGATTTAAAACAGAGATGAGGAGAAATTATGGTGCAATGGATGCTGGGACATTGAGTAAATTTACAGAGGAGATAGACAAGAGTTTTAATGAGTAATGGGTTGAAGGGTCATGGAAAGACGGCAGGAGGTGGAGTTGACGCCGAGATGAAATCAGCCATGAACATATTGAATGGTAGAGCAGGGTCAAAGGGTTGAACTGCCTTCAGGAAGCTCACCATATCCTCTTCAGGGCAGTTAGGAATGGGCAATAAAGGCTGGCACCCAAAATCCTGTAAAATAGTAAAAACAGGAAGAAATGGGCTGAAATGATCAGGTTGGGGTTGAGGATGCCAAGGCAGAGTGAGGTTTGATTCAGTCTCAGGCAGCGGTCACAGAGGGGAAATGGAATTGTTGGTCAGCAGGTTGAGATTATGCATGGACAGGGCAAGATTGGCAATGTCCACAGTCTTCGCAATGGTTCAATGGGAGAACTGGATGATAGACAAGCAGACTGAAAGCACAGGTCAGCAGAGGAATCAAGGAAGATGATGATGAGGTCAACCTCATTTAATATGAGACAATCCAAACATGTAGTTGAGAATTCACATCATGGCTATTGAGAACACTGTTGTCTGGATTAGATTTAAGACCAAATGCAATTACCAGAGGGTCCTCTATTTAAGTATGTCAAGAATATTTCATGAAAGAATTGCATATCCTGCAGTGTGAACTGGAATCTAGAGATATAGACTCCATTAGTGTTACCTCAGTATCAGGAGGAATGGATGGATAGCAGAAATATTATTTGCTTTCAGACTCAATGATATGTACCGCAAAGCAAGGAGCAAACGTAAATTTGGTGTGGAGTGGCATTCATGGCGTATGACATTCTGACAATCAACACTTACCTGCTGCCAAAAAGGTCCAGCCTTCTGATGAAACAAACATGCTTCTTGGTGAAATCAGCACCTTTTCAGGCTCCCTTCCTGCAACCAAACCGAACACAGGAAGCTACTCAATTCCCTCGGAATTTGTCTCATTCACTTTTCCACAATAATGCCAGGAAATATTCTGCAGCAGCCACTTTGCTTAGCAAGATCTTTGCTGCTGCATCTTATAAAACACACAGAATTAATGTCTATGTCATCCGAGTTTAAGGGTTGTGGTACACTTTCAATGTATTTTCTTTCATGAAGAACTGCACCTCACTGGGTAGCACTCAGAGAGCTAGTGGTATAGTGGGACAGTCATCCAGAGCCCTCTTGCAGATGGTGAAATGTGAATTCAATAAAAACCTGAAATTAAAAGCTAGCCAAATGACAATCATTGACATAAAAACCAGTCTGGTTCACTAATGTCCTTTAGAAAAGGAAATCAGCTGTCCATATCTGGTCTGGTCTACATGTGACCCCAGACCCATAATATTGTGGTTGGCTCTTAATTGTCCTCTGAAATTGTCTCAGCAAACCATTCAGTTCAAGGGGCAGTCGGGATGGGCAATAAATGCTGGCTCAGTCGGAGATGCCCACATGCAACCAATGAATGAATAAAAATAGATCTTCCCCCTGAGGTACAAGGCCTGGGGACTTAGAGGCCCAGTGCAGAGCCTTCAGCACACTGTGCAGGCTGGCATTTCCACAGCGGAACTGAGACAATGCTATAGTGTCACAGATGTTGCCTTCCAAATGATACCCAAGGCCTTTCAGCTGGATGTCCTTGATTCTAGGCATTAGTCTGAACAACAGCAGGAGAATTCTACCTGATCCTTTAACCAAACATCAGTAAGACACAATATGTGGTCAACATCTATTGATGGGAGTTTGCTGTGTGCAAACTGGCAGCTGAACCTCCTATATTAGTACAGTATGTCAATGATTGTGGAACACTTTGGGACATCCAGAGATTCTGAAAGACACTATATAAATGTGTGTCTTCCTTCTTTAACTTTGTGTATTCAATGACTTCACTGAATGATTGGATTCATTTAACAACTTGCATGTCCTCAGGAAGCCACAATGTTTTTCACAACCAATGGATTGACTTATTGAGGTACAGTTACTGTCATCAGTCAGCTTCATGCCTTGTAAGATCCCATAAACAGTACATTAATGCTCAATTGATACATTTTTGAGGTTTATTGGTGGAGTCAAACTGTCAGGGCAACATGTTCTGTTCTTTCTTCAACAGTAAGAGGTTTTTAAGGATAAGTTTAAGTTAAGGGATAAGGGATAAGTCCTTTTAGGACTGAGATGAGGAGAAATTTCTTCAACCAGAGAGTGGTGAGCCTGTAAAATTCGCTACTGCAGAAAGTGGTCAAGGCCAAAACATTATCTTTCCAAGAAGGAGGAAGATGTAGCTCTTGTGTCTAAGGGGATCAAGGGATAAGGTGAGAGGACAGGATTAGAATATTGAGCTCAATGATCATTCATGATCTTATTGAATGGCGTAGTAGGCTTGAATGGTCTACTTCTGCTCCTGTCTTCTATGTTTCCACCTGAGTCAGAAGTCACATCACAACAGGTTATAACCAAACAGGTTTATTTGAAATCACATGCTTTTGGAGAGCTGCTCCTTCATCAGCTGCTCTGAAAGTTTGTGATTTCAAATAAACCTGTTGGACTATAACCTGGTGATGTGTGATTTCTGATTCTGTCTATCCCAGTCCAACACCTGCACCTCCACATCATGTCCACCTGAGCAAGTACACAGTTCAAACACGTGCCAAAAAATCAGCATCCATGACAGTAAGGTCATATAGTCATAAAGTCATACAGCACAGAAACAGAAATAGAAACATAGAAGATAGGAGCAACAGGAGGACATTCGGCCCTTCTAGCCTGATCCGCCATTCATCATGGTGATGGCTGATGGTCCAACTCAATCCTAATCCCGCCTTCTCCCCATAACATTTGATCCCATTCGCCCCAAGTGCTATATCTAGCTGCCTTTTTTTTTCTTTATTCGTTCATGGGACGTGGGCATCCTTAATTGCCCAGAGGGCAGTTAAGAGTCAACCACATTGCTGTGGGTCTGGAGTCACATGTAGGCCAGACCAGGTAAGGATGGCAGTCCTTCCCTGAAGGACATTAGTGGACCAGATGGGTTTTTCCAACAATCAACAATGGATTCATGGTCATCATTAGATTCTTAATTCCAGATATTTATTGAATTCAAATTTCACCATCTGCTGTGGCAGGATTTGAACCCAGGTCCCCAGAACATTATCTGGGCCTCCAGCGCTAATACCACTAGACCATCACCTCCCCTGAATTCAATGTTTTGGCATCAACTATTTCCTATGGTAGTGAATTCCACAGGCTCACCACTCTTTGGGTGAAAAAATGTCTCTTCATCTCTGTTCTAAATGATGGTCCAACTTGCCCACACTGACCAGATATCCTAATCTGACCTAGTCCCATTTTCCGGCATTTGGCCCACATCCCTCTAAACCCTTCCTATACATTTACACATCCAAGTGCTTTTTAAATGTTGTAATTGTATCCACCTCCATCACATTCTGTAACTACATGTTCCATACACGCACCCACCCTCTGAGTGAAAAGAATTATCCCTTTTAAAATTTTTGCTCTCTCACCTTAAACTTATGCCCTCTAGTTTTGGATTCCCCATGTGGGAAACCTCTATAAGGTCACCCCTCAGCTTCCAATGTTCCTGCGAAAATGGCTCCAGCCTATTCAGCCTCTCCCTACAGCTCAAACCCTCCAGTACTGGCAACATCCTCATAAATCTTTTCTGAACCCCTTCAAGTTTAACAACATCCTTCCTATAGAAGGTTGACCCAGAATTGAATACAGTATTCTGAAGGTGGCCTAACCAATGTCCTGTACAGCCACAACATGATGTCCCAATTCCTCATTACAGTGCAGTACAGGCCCTTCGGCCCTCGATGTTGCGCCGACCTGTGAAACCAATCTGAAGCCCATCTAACCTAAACTATTCCATTATCATCCATATGTTTATCCAATGACCATTTAAATGCCCTTAAAGTTGGCGAGTCTACTATTTTTGCAGGCAGGGCATTCCACACCCTTACTACTCTCTGAGTAAAGAACCTACCTCTGACATCTGTCCTATATCTATCACCCCTCAATTTAAAGCTATGTCCCCTCATGCTAGCCATCACCATCCGAGGAAAAAGGCTCCCACTGTCCACCCTATCTAATCCTCTGATCATCTTGTATGTCTCTATTAAGTCACCTCTTAACCTTCTTCTCTCTAACGAAAACAGCCTCAAGACCCTCAGCCTTTCCTCATAAGACATTCCCTCCATACCAGGCAACATCCTGGTAAATCTCCTCTGCATCCTTTCCAATGCTTCCACATCCTTCCTATAATGCGGTGACCAGAACTGTACGCAATACTCCAAGTGTGGCCGCACCAGAGTTTTGTACAGCTGCAACATGACCTCATGGCTCCGAAACTCAATCCCTCTACCAATAAAACCTAACATACTGTACGCCTTCTTAACAACGCTATCAACCTGGGTGGCAACTTTCAGTGATCTATGCACATGGACACCGAGATCTCTCTGCTCATCCACACTACCAAGAATCTTACCATTAGCCCAGTACTCTGTATTCCTGTTACTCCTTCCAAAGTGAATCACCTCACACTTTTCCGCATTAAACTCCATCTGCCACCTCTCAGCCCAGCTCTGCAGCTTATCTATGTCCCTCTGTAACCTGCAACATCCTTCCGCACTATCCACAACTCCACCGACTTTGGTGTCATCCACAAATTTACTAACCCATCCTCCTACGCCCTCATCCAGGTCATTTATAAAAATGACAAACAGCAGTGGCCCCAAAACAGATCCTTGAGGTACACCACTAGTAACTGAACTCCAGGATGAACATTTCCCATCAACCACCACCCTCTGTCTACTTACAGCTAGCCAATTTCTGATCCAAACCGCTAAATCACCCTCAATCCCATGCCTCCGTATTTTCTGCAATAGCCCACCATGGGGAACCTTATCAAACGCTTTACTGAAATCCATATACACCACATCAACCGCTTTACCCTCATCCACCTGTTTGGTCACCTTCTCAAAGAACTCAATAAGGTTTGTGAGGCACGACCTACCCTTCACAAAACCGTGTTGACTATCCCTAATCAAATTATTCCTTTCGAGATGATTATAAATCCTATCTCTTATAATCCTTTCCAACACTTTACCCACAACCGAAGTAAGGCTCACTGGTCTATAATTACCAGGGTTGTCTCTACTCCCCTTCTTGAACAAGGGGACAACATTTGCTAGTCTCCAGTCTTCTGGCACTATTCCTGTAGACAATGACGACATAAAGATCAAAGCCAAAGGCTCTGCAATCTCCTCTCTAGCTTCCCAGAGAATCCTAGGAAAAATCCCATCCGGCCCAGGGGACTTATCTATTGTCACACCTTCCAGAATTGCTAACACCTCCTCCTTATGAACCTCAATCCCGTCTAGTCTAATAGACTGTATCTCAGTATTCTCCTCGACAACATTGTCTTTTTCCTGTATGAATTCTCCTCGACAACATTGTCTTTTTCCTGTGTGATTCTCCTCGACAACATTGTCTTTTTCCTGTGTGATTCTCCTCGACAACATTGTCTTTTTCCTGTGTGAAATACCTTCCAAATACCAAATACCAAATACCAAATACCAAATGCCAAATACCTTCTTCAAAACCCTGTTTACCTACGACTCCACTTTCAAGGAACTATGCATCTGCACACCTAGGTCTCTTTGTTCAGCAACTTTCTCCAGAACTCTATCATTAAGTGTATAAGTCCTGCCCTGGTTTGCCTTACCAAAGTGCAACACCTCATATTTAGCTAAATTAAACTCCATCTGCCACTCCATGACTATTTGGCCCATCTGATCAAGGTCCTATTGTACTCTGAGATAATCTTCTTCACTGGCCACTACACCACCTATCTTGGTGTCATCTGCAAACTTACTGACCATACCTCCCATATTCACATCCAAATCATTTATATAAATGATGAAAAGCAGTGGACCCAGCAGTGATTCTTGTGGCACACCACTGGTCACAGTCCTCCAAGTCTGAAAAGCAACTCTCCACCAGCACCCTCTGCCTCCTCCCTTCGAGCCAATTTTGTATCCAATTAACTAGCTCCATCTGGATCCCATGTGATCTAGCCTTACTAACCAGTCCACCATACGGAACCTTGTCGAACACCTTACTGAAGCCCATATAAACAATGTCTATCATTCTGTCTTCATCAATCTACTTTGTCATCTCTTCAAAAACTCAGTCAAGTTAGTGAGACATGATTTCCCACACACAAAGCCATGCTGACTATCCCTAATCAGTCTTTGCCTTTCCAAATGCATATAAATCCTGCCCTCAGAATCCCCTCCAACAATTTACCCACTATTGACCTAAGTCTCTAGCTCCCTGACTTTTCCTCATAATCTTTCTGAAATAAAGGCACCACATTAACCACTCTCCAGTCTTCCGGCACCTCACCCATGGCTGTCGATGATGCAAATAAAGCAGCAAGGTTCCCAACAATCTCTTTCCTAGATTCCAACAAAGTTCTAAGAGATACATGATCATGTCCTGGGGATTTATCCACCTTGAAGACCTCCAGCACCCGCTCTTCTGTAATATGAACTCTTTTCAAGACATTACTGTTTATTTCCCTGAGTTCCCTAGCTTCCATGTCTTTGTCCAAAGTAAATCTTGATGCGAAATATTCATTTAATATCTCACCCATCTCCTGCAGTTCCATGTATTGACAGCCACCTTGATCTTTAAGGGGCCCTATTCCCTCCCTAGTTACTCTTTTGTCCTTAATGTATTTGTAGAATCTCTTTGGATTCTCCTTAACCCTATTTGCCAAAGCTATCTCATGTCCCCTTTTTGCTCTCTGATTTCCCTCTTAAGTATACTCCTTCTGCCCTTATACTCTTCCAGGGATTTACTTGATCTCAGCTGTCCATACCCGACATATGCCTCCTTCTTTTTCTTGACCAGAGCCTCAATTTCTCTAATTAAAAAGAAATGAAAGAACTGCAGATGCTGTAAATCAGGAACAAAAACAGAAGTTGCTGGAAAAGGTCAGCAGGTCTGGCAGCATCTGTAAAGAGAAATCAGCGTTAACGTTTCAGCCTCAGAAACATTAACACTGATTTCTCTTCACAGATGCTGCCAGACCTGCTGAGCTTTTCTAGCAATTCCTGTGTTTGTTCCTCAATTTCTCTAATCATCAAGCATTCCCTACACTTAGCAGTCTTTCCCTTCACACTAACAGGAACATACTGTCTCTGAACTTTCGTTATCTCATTTTTAAATATCTTCGTAACCATCCCTTTACCTCCAAAGCCTCTCCCAACCAACTTTTGAAAGTTCCTGTCCAATACCGTCAAAATTGGCCTTACTCCAATTTAGAACTTAAAGGTTTTAATCAGTTTTATGCTTTTCTATAACTATTTTAAAGCTAATAGAATTATGTTCACTAGCCCATAAGGGCTCCCGCACTGACATCTCAATCATGTGCCCCAGTCCAGATAATGTCCTCATGTTCTGGACTTGAACCAACAGCTTCTGACTCAGAGAAGGGACATCCACTGAGCCAGGTACTCATAAAGAACTTTGATTTTGTAATGATTACAAAATAAAAGAAGTTTTCTGCAATTTTTTTTTAATTCCATGCTCACATTGAGCTGAAGTAGCCAATTACCTCAGTTGGGCTAGATGGAAAGGGTTTGGATCAGATTAATCCCAACAGCATTTTTATTCCTTTATTCATTCACGGGATGAGGGTGTCACTGGCTAGGCAGCATTTATTGCCCATCCCTAATTGCCCAGAGGTCAGTTAAGAGTCAACCACATTGCTGTGGGTCTGGAGTCACATGTAGACCAGACCAGGTAAGGATGGCAGTTTCCTTCTCTAAAGGACATTAGTGAACCAGATGGGTTTTTCCTCAACAATCGACAATGGATTCACGCTCATCGTAAGACTCTTAATTCCAGATATTTACTGAATTCAAATTCCACCATCTGCTGTGGTGGGATTTGAACCTGGGTCCCTGGGACATTATCTGGGTCTCTGGATTAACTGTCCAGTGATAAAACCACTAGGCCATCGCCTCCCCCTTTGAAGTTTGATGTCATGCCCCCAGCACGGGCATCAAACTTCAATCTGGCTCAGCCAGATGTGGGCTTCCCTTTGTGTCCTACCCATAGTAAAAGATTGTTGCACTTTGCTGTGATGTAGTGAATAGTTACCAAGGAACCACCTTCAGCTGAGCCCTTAAAAGAAATCTCAGTTAGTCAGCTATAAAGGTAGTGAAATTGGCATCAGTATCACTGCAGCTAAATCAGGGATAATAGGAATCAACAATCCTGACAATAATGGATATTGACAGCATCATTTGTTATGTCTTGCACGTAAGACACACACCCTGGACAAAGAATGGCCACTTGAGCATGTTTCAGAAAACTGTCATTACCTGCTAAACTGAAACAAACACAACATAGTTCAGACACTGGAAATGTACACTATCTACCTCAGTATGAACCGGCATCTTTCAAATATTGCTCTGTAGCTAATTACCCCTAAGCCAGAAGAATGTAGCAACATAAGAACAAAGAGCAGGAGTTGACAATTCAGTTCTTGGACCCAGCTCTGTGGGTTCAAAATCCCATTCCAACAACTTTACTGCAAAAACAAAGTAGGTTTCCCAGTGCAGTACTGAGGGCATGCCCAAGTTCTGGAGGTGCTGACTTTCAGGTGAAATCTCATGCCTTTCCTTTCAGGTGGGTGAGTACAGCACCTTGGCACAATTTGAAAGAAGGACAGTGAAGAAATGTTGTTCTGGAAAATATTCATCCCTCCAACCAAACCAGAGAGAGCTGTTTATCTGATCATGTATTTAATTACTGCTTGTTAGAACTTGCCATGTAACAAATAGTTGCTGTATTTCTTACAATATACCCGAGTCAGCCCAGTATCACTTAGGGCCTGAGGTTATTACAGACACTATATAAATGCAAACTTGTTTTTAGCAACACAAGTGGAGAAAATAATGAAAGGATAAATTGTGATCTTCTGACGTCCAGCAAATAATCTGGATTTACAATGATGTTTGAGTTGGGAATATTTGACTGGTATTTTATCCACTAATTAGTGTTTACTGAAGCATGATTGTTTAAAGCATCAGTGGATGTTGAATTAAATTTAAAGTGGTCAATTATTTGATTTTCAGACAAAGCACACCAAATATTAACAAAAAATTTGACTGATCTAAGAAGATTGAAGACCTCTGCTCTTCCTCACCTGCAGGACCCTGTTAATTAATTTATACATTATATAATCATTTATAACAAAGTTAATATAAATTATTTATACTGCAAATATGGGCAGTTCTACATAATGCATCATTCCTTTTATTACAGAACATCGTTACAATTTGATTAGGTTTAGTATAAATACCATTGCAGATACTTTTTTCTGATATTTTGAAACTTGTATTTGAGGCTCCCAATTGATCAAGTGATTTAAATAAAAACAAGCCAGTGATGATCCATAATTCCCAATCATATTTAAAACTTTTGGGGTGTGGAGAGGTGGGGGAGGGGGTTTGCCAGATGCCTAGCTGTAAACTTCCTGCAGCCTATCGATATCCTGGTGTGTACCCTCTGGCAATCCTCCTCACTGTCCGCAGCTCCTCCAACCTTTCTGTCATTCACCAACTTACTAATCAGACCACCTACATTCTCCTCCAAATCATTTATATATATTACAAACAGCTGGGGTCCCTGCACTGCTCCCTGTGGAACATCACTCGTCACAGATCTCCAGTCAGAAAAACACCCTTCCATCGCTAGGTTGCCATTAGGGACCTTGATAAAGGCCTTGCTAAAGTCCATGTAGACAACACCCACTGTCCTGCTGTCAACAATCATCTTTGTCTCTTTCTAAATGAACTCTATCAAGTTTGTGAGACACGACCTTCTCCACACAAAGCCATCCTGCCTATCATTAATAAATCCATATTTTTCCAAATGTGAATAAATACTGTCCCTAAGAATCTTCTCTAATGATTTCCCTACCACTAACATAAAGCTCACCAGCCTGTAATTTCCCGGATTATCCCTGTTGCTCTTAAACAAGGGAACAACGTTGGCTATTCTCCAGTGCTCTGGGACCTCACCTGTGGCTAAAGAGGATACAAAGATTTCATACAAGGCCCCAGCAGTTTCCTCAGCTGCTTCCCTCAGCATTCTGGGATAGATCCCATCAGGTCCTGGGGACTTGTCTACCTTAATGCTTTTTAAAACACCCAATACCTCCTCCTTTTTTATACTGATAGCCCTAGAATATGAATGGACCCCTCTCTAGACTTACTGTCCACCATGTCCTTCTCCTTTGATGCATTATTTGGAAGGTGAGCTGCGGCCTGCCAAAAGGCTTCCAACTGCAGTGTAATAATTCTGTGATTCTGAACCTAGGAAATTTTCTCGGTGTCCAATATTTATCCATCAACTAATATCAGTGAAACAGATTATTCCATCACTATCTCATTGCTGTTTATGGTTTATGTATATGAAAATTGGCTGCTGCACTAGCTGCATTACAGCAATGACTCCACTTTGAAAAGTACCTCACTGGCTGTAAAGTGCTTAAAGATGTCCTGAGTTTGTGAAAGGCGCTTTATAAATGCAAGTCATTCTTTCCTCAATGTGACTGCCGTCCCATACCAACATGGTTTATTCCTAATTGTCCTTGGACCCAGTCTAGTGAGTCACTTAGTTTTATCAAAATGATACTGAGTGCAGGTGACTAGCACAGCACCTTCCCAGATCAGCCTGGCATGTATGATAAACACTGGCCTTGCCAGCGATGCCCACAATAAACTATAACAAAGATGAACAGTTACCACGAATGTACTGCTGCTTTGCAATTTCAATTGGTTGTGTTGGTATGGCTTGAATATTCTGTAAGGAAAATAGTAAGGCACAGGTAAATTTACAGTTCTATTTTAAAAACAAACAATAATACTAGTTTCAATTAAATAGAAGGAAAGCATAATGGGGGCAGGACCATAGAAATAGGAAGAGGCCATTCACCATTCACTATCTCACCATATAATTAGATGAGGGCTGATGTGTAGTTTAATACCATTTGTCCAAACAGACACCAGTCGTGGTGGAGGAGCATGTTTTCTGTACAAGACACAAGGACTCTTCATAAAAACCTGAAGAATCCGCTCATCGGAAAGAAAGTGTATGAGTCAATTGACAATAGGTGGATTGGCCGTGCTAAATTGTCCAGAGTGTCCAGGGATGTGTAGGCGAGGTGGATTAGCCATGGAAAATGCAGGTTTACAGGGATAGCGTAGGGGAGCAGGTCTGGGTGGGATTCTGTTTGGAGGGTTGGTGTCGACCCAATGGGCCGAATGGCCTGATTCCACAATGTAGGGATTCTATGACACTATTCTTTGATTCTCCGACAGGAGTTCGGGGCCTTGGCTGTCATGTTGAATACTTTGTTGCCGAGGCTTGGCTACGATTGTCTTCAGAAACAATCTAACAATATCAGCGAGCAAAACTTTCAACTCAGTTTTAGTTTCAAATATTTTCAGGGACAGGGTTTTGAGATAGTGCTCAATTTTTAAGCAAAAATGTCTTTTTATAAGATGAAATGAAGGCTTAATCTTAGTAGCTGTGGCAGATTAGTCTCAGTTTAAGGGACAAATTAACAAAGGAAATTGCTAGTGTTATGACAGTGAGACAGACAGCCGAAGCAAATCAGCCTTTCTACCTCTGTATTCACAACACAGTAAAATTAAAACCTTCAAGGATCCTCAAAATTGACCCCAATGGTTCCTAACCAGACTCTTGTATAATCAATCGGAGACTCAGAGAATAATCAATTCAAGAAACTGGTTGTATCTTAAAAAAAGACTGAGCAATTTATTAACAATATAATAAATTTAATAGAGCAAAAATTAAACAGCAATGTAATCTAATGGTTTTTAACCCATTCACAACACAGACAAGCACATACAGCTATGGGATAAATAAAGGAAAATCACAACACTGGCCAGATTACTTCGGCAATTTTCACGATGCACTGTTCCATAGGCAGAGATGGTGATTTATTTGTTGATTTTCTGAGGATGTCAATCAGGGCCACCTTTTCAGCTCACTCAGAAAAGATCAGTAATACTTCTACCTCAGTTCTCTATACTTTGAACTTCCAAGAGCTGCTCATGGGAAGTTAGGTTTAAGCTTTCAAATCTTCATGCTGTCACATACACAGCCAAACTCCTCCTCCCTGAAAATAGAGTCCAAAACCAATGCAAACTGTGGCCTCTCCCTAGCAGACTGACCATCTCCCCACAAGGTGTCAGTTACTATTCAGTATCTGCCATCTACTTGAGCATTAGGGCTCTCCCAGACTTGCTGGAACCAATTCCAAGGTACTGACCTCATTAATGGCTAACTTCTGCTATCTGTTTAAACATAATTGTGTCAATGGGTTGAGGAGTGGCAGATGGAGTTTAATTTGGATAAATGCGAGGTATTGCATTTTGGTAAAACAAACAAGGGCAGAAATTATTCATGTAAAAGTAGGTAGTGTTGTAGAACAGAGAGACCTAGGGGTTCAGGGACATAATTCTTTGAAGTTTGCGTCACATGTAGATAGGGTGGTTAAGAAAGCATTTAGCTTGCTTGCCTTCATTGCTAAGGCTTTTGAGTATAGCAGTTGTGACATCATATTGAGGTTGTACAGGACATTTGTTGAGGCCTGTTCTGGAGTACTGCGTCCAGTTCTGGTTACCCCGCTATAGGAAGGATACTATTAAGCTGGAGAGAGTTCAGAAAAGATTTATAAGGATGTTGCCTGAAAGGGAGAGTTTGAGTTATAGGGAGAGGCTGGTTACGCTGGTATATTTTCCAATGGAGCTTGTGAGGTTCAGGGGTGACCTTATAGAGGGTTATAAAATGATGAGGGGTATAGATAAGGTGAATGGCAGGTGTCTTTTCCCTAAGATGTGGGGTTTCAAGACTAGGGGGCATATTTTCAAGATGAGAGGAGAAGGATTTTAAAAATACATAAGGGGCAATATAAACAGAGAATGGTTCGTTTATGGAATGAGCTTCCAGAGGAAGTATTGGATGCAGCTGCAGTTACAACATTTAAAAGACACTTAGATAAGTATATGAATAACAAATGTTTGGAGAGATATGGGCCAAGCGCAGGCAGGTGGGACTAGTATAGTTTGGGATTATGGTCAGCATAGATTGGTTGGACCGAAGGGTCCGTTTCTGTGCTGTATGACTCTATGAGTCTATAATGTTCTTTGTCAATGACAAACGTCAGTAGAAGCTTTGGTTCAGTAGTGAACCTGCAATTAATTTCCAGGCCTGGCCTCACAAATAAACGAAAGCTTGTCTGATTGGTCACAGTCACACAAGCTGTTGGCCACAGTCCAAAAGTCGTCGTTAGCTCACATTTCCCTGTTCACAGCTCCAAACCAAAACTGAAAGAAGAATAAAGTAAAACAACTGAAAAGATAGCGAGGTCTCTAACAGCAGGGAGGTGGCAAATTTGAAATGAACGCTTTGGAAGTTGATGTTCTGGTCCAGAGACATTGTGATGGGAAGTTACAGCTATATCTCTGCCTGTTGTACAGTGAGAATGGATATGATAATGAAGTGCTGATTTGTAACATGGTGGAACCATGGCAACAGCACGCAAGCGACTGCGAAGAAACAATGGAATGATTGGTATCAGTGAGAAATGCGTATACAGAGAACAGTACAATGGAAAATGCTGTAACTAAAAGAGGTTGAAAACTGCAGACACATAGTTAATCATAGATAAGGGGAAACCATTACAGCCCGCAAACTACCTGAAGAGATAAAAAGAGAAATTGCTCCGCTGTGCAGAATAGAAGTCTAAACCACAAGCCTCATGGCAATGCTAACCAATGCCCTCCCACAAAAAGATGATAAAAGGGACTGACAAAATAAATGTAGAGAGTTTGAACATAGAACATAGAACAGTACAGCACAGTATAGGCCCTTTGGCCCACGATGTTGTGCCGACCTATTATCCTACTAAGATCAAACTACCCTGCATAACCTACATCATACTAACATCCATGTGCCTATCCAAGAGTCGCTTAAAAGTCTCTAAAGTATCCTTTGTTTCCTCATATGTGACTATCTAGAACATGAGGTCACAAAGAAAACACATGCAACGTGCCTCAATGACTACCGCCTGGGGGCTCTGACCTCCATATTTTTGAAGTGCTTTGAGAGGCTGGTTATGGCTCATATCAGCTCTCGCTTCCCAGCCTCCCTTGATCCAACACCAGCACTCCGCGAGGCTCTTTACCGTATCGCCTATACACTCATGACCGTGTGGCCAAATTTTGTCCGAACTCCATCTACAAGTTCACTGACGACATCACCACTGTAGGCCGGATACCAAACAATGACAAGACAGAATGCAGGAAAGAGATAGAGTGCCTGGTGGCATGGTGTAAAGATAACAATCTCTCCCTCAATGTCAGCAAAACTAAAGAGCTGATCATCAGCTTCACGTAGCAAGGAGGGCACGCCCCTGTCTACACCAATGGTGCTGAGGTGGAGATGGTCAACAGCACCAAGTTCCTAGGGGTGACAATCACCAACAATCTGTCCTGGTCCATCCACAATGGTCAAGAAGGCACAACAATGTCTCCTCTTCCTCAGGAGGCTAAGGAAATTCAGCCTGTCCATAAGGACTCTCACAACTTTTACAGATGCACCATACAAAGCATTCTACCTGGGTGCATCACAGATTGGTATTGCAACTGCTGTGCCCAGAACTATAAGAAACTACAGAGAGTTGTAAACACAGCCCAGTCCATCACGCAGGCCAACCTTCCATCCACTGACTCCATCTATATTTCTTGCTGCCTCGGAACAGCAGTCAACATCATCAAAAACCCCTCCCACCCAGTTATAATCTTTCCCAACCTCTTCCATCAGGCTGAAGATACAAAAGCTTAAACACGCGTATCAACAGGTTCAAGAACAGCTTCTTCCCTGCTGTTATTAGACTGATGAATGGACCTCTCTAATTCAAATCTAATGTTGATCTTGCTTCTTGTGCATCTTCTCTGCAGTTGTAACTTTGCATTCTATCTCTGTATCTTTGTATGGTATATGGTATGATCTGCCTATACTGCATGCAAAACAAAACATCTTACCGTGCCTAGGTAAATGTGACAATAATAAATCAAATTAGATCAAGTCAAAGTCTCGGATCTGGTTTATTCTGGTCATGTTCTTGGACTAATGTATTCATTCTGTGATCTCTTGAAGACATCAGCACAAAGGAGTGTTCTTTTCTGTTGCTTTAATTCTGTATGCTCTGAGAGATTATTGTTAAAACCATGAACAGGGCTTCATTAATGGTAACCATTACCATGGACCTGCGCTGTACAGTGTTTATTTCCAATAACACGGAAAATGGAAATGGAGTTTGGGCACGCAGTGTCCAAAAATAACTAAGTAATTCAGAAAATAATCAAATACCCGAAAAGACTGCAGCCGTAGACCTTCAGCTGGGGCTGCCTGTCACTGGTTTGAGAATGAGTTTCTCGGCGTGAATTATATGTTCCCCCTGAGACAAACACTCAAGGAAGTTTGGAAACTTGTGTGGGCTAAAAAGGCATAAATAGCCAGTGAGATTCTAGTTATTGTCAGGGCTGTGGTGACTACCTTTATTGTACGGACCGGTCCTGCTGTGGGAATAGATGACAAACATTAAGAAAAGGGAGAAACCAAAAAGAGACCATTTGACCCGCAGTGAAAGCTCACAGCTTCCCAAGGTGTCTTGAATAACTCAAATGTACTTTTATCTCTTGATTGCAAACCAAGGACTGTAATGAGGGGAATTAAAGCTGCAAAATGTGAGTTAATGAGGAAAAA